AGAAGAAGATTTTCAAAGAAATATTTCATTTTCACTACATAATCTATATAGCCCCGCTCTAGCACTAGAACCCCTGACCCTTGGGTGGAAGAGGCAGTCATATTCCACTTAACTAAGCACTTTGTTATTGTTGTTTATTTAATGCCCAGGAGCAGAAAAGAAGAATTTCAACGAAACAATGCATTTTCGCTATATAATCTATTTTTTTTAAAAACTCCTCTGAGAAACATCTAGTGGATGGACAGGTAGAAGGCCACGAGAAGGTAGAAGAAGAACCACATGTAGGAGATAATAAGTCATCAAGGTTTTTACCCCAGTAAATATTTAGATTCTTTTCTTCATAAACAGAGCAATTCTGTCCGTAATAAATAAAACTTGGCTGTACCTTTTCAACTCCACTAGAACATTCTGCTTCATTTGAAGCATCAGCCTCAGACTCATCATTGCATTCTTTCATTGGCGTACTGTTGTCTTTTTGAAATAGTTCTTGATGAACAGATTCTTTCACTGCTGGATCTGTAAAAATAGACAACTCATTTATCCCCCATTGATTATCAATTATACAGTTTTAAAACTGAAACAATGCATTAAAGCTAACATACTTATGCAGTGTGGACAAAAAAATTTAATTTTTTAAACACCTTACCACACTTAGGATCATTCATCATCTGCAATAATTCAGGGGCCATTTTGCATGTTTTCTGGATACCATTCCATTTAAATTTAACGGTAATACTGTTGTGGAGAAATGATAAATTGTATTCATTACAGCGTATTTGTATTAATTTTGTTCATGCACAAAAAAAAATCCCGCTCGACTAAAAATAGAAACCTGCAAAGTTTAAGATTTGCTAATTTAGTTATCTTTCTACGTTATGTTTTATCAGCTTTTTATAATAAAACCTTTGATATTCCTAATTAGTTATACTTACAAGTCTACTTTTTTTCCCCATACACCGACACCGCCATCTTGAAACTCTAATAACCCAGGCCTAGACGTGGGTCGTACTAGGGTAGAGTTTAAAATTAAAAGAATTAATATCACATCACTATACTCGCAACTCTTCCTGTTCGACTGTTACTCGAGTAATTCTGGCACTTGCTATAGTTCCAGTCGAAGTGGGCCGTGGTAAATCAGTATGTTTTGTCGTTCTGTCATCGGATTGGACAATTGTTCTCGGTAAGCGACTATGTGCGAAATAATAAAAATAGCCATATAAGGTAGATTTCTCCGTTATAATACTAAGACCCGCATATTTTCTTTCTATAAAAGAACATACTGTCACATACCAGGAGGAATTTTGCAATGATTGAGTCTTAAAAAAAGTCATAGATAATGCAATATTCCTTATAATTAAAATGTGTCAGAAATATTGAAACAATTCAAAAGGCGTCGTATTTATTCACTCATGTTTGCAAACTATCAAAATTGTTGTAGATTAGATATGATTCGTCGTTGAAAAGGGGGCCCCTGATAGCAGTTATGTCACCACATCCTTTGTTTCACCTCTTTCTAGTGAATCCTTCTGCCATTAGCTTCTGGGTTTTTTGCAAGGAATGCTGGTTCAAGTTAAATAGATACTGGTTTGGTACTGGCATTTCCTTCACAGGTTTCACCTTTGATTGTTTAAAGTGATTTCATCGCTTCTTCATATCAAGTTTGTTTGTTCTCGAAATTCATTCCTGTCAAAACGATCATTCTTTCTTCTTTGCTGATCGATGATCTTTTGAAAAATTAAATGCCAAAATTTCGGGGTGTAGCATTATTATTTTTTTTTCTTTATTTTGCATCAAAAATGGATATGTATTCATTGATAGACTGTCCATCACATCTTTTAAAATCTTCAAATTTTTTAAAGCTATTTCTAAGAAATCTTTAGCTTAATGTTTGTCCAAAAAGTGTATCAATGTTTTCAAACCCGTGTCTCTTTTAGACCCTAGTTTCTTTTCATCTAACTCTGTGATTCCTAATCATGCTGGGATATATTGCCTGTAGAGTTCATAACCTTTGATTGTGGGTTTTAAGAAGGGGGTTGATTTTTTTGTTGTTGACATTTCTCAATTTGCTAAGGTCTAACTTTTTTCTCAGTTACCTTTTACCAAACTCTGAATTGTTATAATGAAATGTCACACACTTGCCTTCACTGTCTTTAGTACATAGTATCCCAAATTTCCTTTCGCACCACGTTCTGCTACCATTGTAAGACCATGTCCTTTATTCTGCACCATACGTACACTAAAACTGAACTTTACAAGAGAAGAGCTCCATTATTGGTAAACAAGTTAAACAAAAATGAAAGAAAAAGTGAGCAAGCTGCTCACATACCCCACGCTCCCCCGAAACTCAAAAGTGCAGAACACCCCGAAAAAATTTTATGGAGAAATGGTGTTCATTCTGCTCATTTACATATTCGCCGTATTGGAGCTATAATGGCGGAAGATCCATAAAGATTTATATAGAGAACTTACAAAAAATGCAAATTTTTCTATACTCACTATTTCGGATAAAGTTCTTCCGCCGAGTTGTGGTTTTTCTTTATATCTTTTACCGGAAATAACAATAATGTTGATGCTAAAGTCAAAGTTGCGACCGCCTTTTTTATTTGAAAATTCGAAGCGAGAATACATTCTTTTATTGACACTGGGTGAAAAAAGTGGTTTCCCATCATGGGAAACTTTATGGAAACCACATGGAAACCTCAAGTTTACATCATGTTTCCCAGTGGTTTCCGTAGCGGATGCTAGGTTATTCCGCCAAGTTTCCGTGACACGGAAACCCCCTACGCTCCGATTCCATAAGGTATCCCGAACCACGGAAACCTCTGTAAACCTGAAGTTTCCCGAACATCCATGTAGTTTCCCGTAATGGGAAACCTGAAGATTCCACTGGTTTCCAGAATCAGGAAACTTGATGGAATCGGAGCGTAGGGGGTTTCCGTGGAATGGAAACGTGGTGGAATCTTTAGGTTTCCTATTACGGGAAACTACATGGAAGCTCGGGAAACCTTACGATTCCTAAAGTTTCCGTGACTCAGGAAACCACATGGAATCGGAGCGTAGTGGTTTCCGTGGAATGGAAACTTGATGGAATCTTGAGGTTTCCTATTACGGGAAACTACATGGAAGCTCGCGAAACCTTACGATTTCTAAAGTTTCCTTGATTTAGGAAACTATATGGAACTTGTGTAGCAGTTTCTGTGTGGTGGAAACTTGGTGGAATTATCTGGAGTCCCATTCCTGGTTGAAATTACTGGGAAACTTCAAGATTCCCTAACTTTTCTAAAGGAGCGATGTGAAATTATGTGTATTCTTTTCAAAAATCTATCGAAAAAATTATTACATGTAAGAGAAAAAAGCATTACCATTTTATATGTTTAATAATTCATTTGATGTACAAAAACTGTAACAGTATTTTTCAATTATATCAAAATACTAAATAAATTCATATATCTTAGATAAACAATGGAACAGTCTTTCACGTTTAAGTCCATTCATAAGAGTCATTAAGTACTTCTTTCAACATCAGTTCCCTGGTATTTTCTTCACATCATCTATGATCTGAAATATTCATACAAAATTATCATATGATGTGTCAGAATTATAATGCTTGAATATAACTTAGAAATCTGAAAGATCAGTCAATGTTCTTTAATATACCAATATCAATAAATTGAATAATTACTTTCCATGACCATGATACATATGATTTCAGCATTTAACGTGTCTCTTTAAAATTTAATGCTTTATGATAAGGAAAAAAATATTACATAATATAAATAATGTTTTCAGCCTTATTATGTCATTGAGAATATATTACAATTTCATAGAACCCTGCTTTAAGTTGAATTAGTTTGAGAGAAAACATACTCTTTATAATAACAAAAATATTAGAGAGAGAATTTTTTTAAATTTTGATATTTGACCTAAAACATTGTTTGAAGATCATTGCAGACCCTCCACCCCATTGCATAAAAGATAGATTACACCAAGGGAGAAATATACTCTGGACTACGACTTTGAATAAAGATATACAGTACATTTTGATACTGACCTTTGACCTAGAAAATTAGTCCAAGGTCACTTTTCATCCTCTTTCCACAGGCTCTCTGTAGTTTAAGTTTGAGAGAGAAATATGCTCAGAACAAGTGATATCAGATGATGTGATGGGTAGATACACTGTCTAAGGGCATCCACAGAACAGGACTCTAAAAACAATGCAATATATATGTATTACAGTATGGATATACATGTACTTGTATGTTAATGATTTATCATATGCTGCATTGGACACATATGCTTTTATCATGGTGTAAGTATACATGTATCTTATGAGTAATTTTATGCCAGTATTGCATGTACACTCGGTTTATAAACAAGTAATTTAATTTTTTTTTTACAAAAATTGACGCAACATTATTTACATCCACTCATTTTTAGATCTATTGATATACCATAGACAACTTTCACATTTACAAAAGTTATTCCCCTTTGCAGGATCAATCTGAGGTCAACCGGCTTAAGATGCTGTTTTCCCTCTATAACCGTACCAACTTTGAGGGTCAATATCTTAGAAATGAAATCTGTATGAACATGTTCATTATGACATAATGATAGTACACAATTGGTTAGACAAGGAGACCATAGTGATACACTATCATAAAACTTATCAAAATAAGGCCATAGAAAATGGTTCAATATAATCAGACTTCAGTATTTGCAAGCAAAAAATAACACATCCTTAATATTTTTTTCAAATGGTATTGATCTTTTTGTTCACTTAAAAAGGGAAGTTAAATGAATTTATAAAAGTTTTACACAATACTAAGAAAAGTAAAAATAAATAAGAATCTGAGAAAATTAATTACCTCTATGAGGAGTAGACCCTGGAAATGGCCCAAGCTGGACACTTCTCAGGAGGAGGTGTTGTTGTGTCCTCTCTACCATCCCTAACAAATACCAACTGGCGTCTGGCAGATTCGGTTTTCAGGACCTTGTGTCTATATGCCTTGTCCAGTGCCTCTTTTCCCTTGCACAGTCTGGTTGATTCCCAGGAAAATGGGAGCCTGACCCTCTTTGTTGAGTCTTTGTCATCAGTCTTCTTGGGAAGTTATGTCCAACCGAATGCACTCTGTCAAGTTCTTTTTAGATGTTGGGGTCCATGACTCGTCTAGATGTTCCACGGCTTTTTATCTTATTTCCAGTTTCTGAGGGAAAAAGCGCATAGTTAATCATACAGACTTTTTAAAAACATATCTGTACAAGTATCAATGATAATGAACTATGTGACCTGTCACCTTAGTTTTGTAGAAATACCCATTGACACAAAATATCATAAATTTCAAAGAATATTTAATTCTTCTACAACCCTGCTATACATGATGAAAGAAGACTGTAAATTAACAAATATCTTTGTAATGTAGGCAAATTAATTTAAAAATAAATCCCAAAAGATCACTTTTTCATATAGGATTTTAGTAAATTAGACTTACTGAATGCTTTCTTTTGCTTTGTTTTGACTGCTGTCTGTGAAGATCAGTCTTTCCATCTCCTGTCTCCGTTTCTCCTGTTTGTCATTAGTAATGACATTGGTGAACGCCTCTAAAATATATAAAAACTCCAATATAACAAACTGAACACAAAAAAAAAATAAACAAAAAACACCACAATCTTAGGGGACTCTCTATGTTGTCACTGTCACAACATGCCGTACATCCAGTTGAAGCCCCGTTTTGGTCTGAAATGCTTTTTTTATATATTTCTGTCTTAAACAAATTCACTTAAAACTGATAAATCACCAGGTATAGCTCAACATGCAATATTGAAATTGGATGCATCTCCTCTAGGCAACAAGAGTGGCCAATGTACCCCTTCTTATTAAAAACATGAATTGTTTATCAAATTTTCAATTTGTCAATTTTGACTTTTTTTGTTAATCAAAAATATATTTACAAACTAATCAACCTAAAAGCCTTATCATCATGATATTTGATCATTCTGTCATTCTGTGTCAAAACCCTGTAGTAGGGTCAGTTGTTTCTTAAACTGATGCTTCTTTTATAAAAAAAACTTATTTGCTTTTCAGCTGTAATCCAGCAAAATATATCCCAAATACTGCAGATTTAAACAGATAAGACAGATGTATCACCTCTACGTCACATAGAAGATACTCTGTATACACCCTGAATGTGAAGTTATACCTGCTGAAATTTAAACTCATGAAATCACCAAAATGCTCCCACAATAGTTGGAATTATTATATAACCTGAACGTTTGATCAACATTCTTTATCAAATGAATTGAATGGAAAACACACAGATTAAAAAATAAAGTAGGAATCTTATAAATCACCTTTTTCAGATGTAAACAAGATGCATTTGTAAAACACTATGCGTCCGGCGCAACAAAATTCAAAAAGGCTATTTTTTGCATACAGGTCACAGTCAAGCGACGCTCGTTACTGCGAGCTCTTAAAGCAACGACTGTGCGAAGAGAAAATTTGGACTACTGCACATTCATTCGATTACATTTTTTGATGCAGTAATTTGGATCCACAATGCATCACTTGTTAAAGCTACGTTCTCACGAGAATAGCAGCAAAAGTTCAACTAAAAGTAAACATGCCCTGATTTAATGGATTTAAACATTGAAGATAAATAGTAAACAATATGTTCTTCATTTACTTTCAGCACTGCTTGGGCTTCTTTTTGGAAATGTTACTTACATACGACGTCATGTGACATCAGAGTCTAGACGCACCAAATGTCACATGCAGTTTGATGAGCCAGATCTAAATTATAACAAAATATATATCTGCGCTCGCCAAAACAGTCTCACTGTCATTGTATTAGTCAAAATGTGGTTTATATAAGGACCCATGTCAAGTGATATTGACATGACCTCTCATGCTTGGTTCCTACTTTCTTTCTATGCCGTGGGTCAATATCACTTGACATAGGTCCTTATAACTTCAGGTTGGCCTACACCGGTCAAAAATTGTGAAATATCTGATAATTCAAGCTGATGATTCATTTGCATTACTTGATATACTATCAATATTAATTCACTATGTAGGCTTTTCTTTTTTAACATCTTCATCTCAGCAGGTCAGACATTAGAAACTTTTTCTTTTGTCAGTAAACTATTTCAATATACAAACCAATTTCTTCAGCGCAGTGGACAGGCTTTTGCCTACATCCACATTTTTAATGTATGTTTTCCTCCATATCATCCTCATGCATATGATTAGGGCTTATGATTAAGGGTTATGCTAAGGTACAATCTATTTCAACTGTTCTGATAATGATATCCTTCATGAATAATCGGAAATTTGCGATTAAACACTTTTTGTAAAATATTGATGCTTTTTCATAGTTTTGAAACAAAAATATCTCATTTATACGGTTATACCTTGTCATAAGTTCCAAAAAATGAAAACAGTTGGCTATCCGAGAACACATGAATTCAAACTGGATGTACTTTAGTATGTATTTAAGTACGAAACCGTGCTCGGTATAGATATTATCATCCGAATAAATAGAGGGGATAAAAAAAAAAAAAAAAATAAAAAAAGAAGCTTCGCTTTGAAATAACTCATTTATACACAGAGAGAGAACTATTATATTGTGCATTCATTCTATTAAAAAGCGAAAAGTCGCCATTGTACAACATACAGCATGGAACACATGTACGATGATTTTGGGCCTACATTGTCTATCTATTGCATGGAAATAAATTAAGCATGTTATTTCACTCAAATTTCCCTTTTATTTCTTGCAATATATGTTCTAAAGACTAAGAATTTTAGACATTCAACTTTTCAAAATGGCTTCAGAACAAAAGTGTCACCGATAGTGAAGATTTGTTGTTGCAAAATATTACAATTATTTACCGTAAAAAATAAACAAAAATATACGTACACTAATCCTTGGTTGTTGTTCATTGCATTTATCACAGTCTCAAAGACATTGGGTGGTGAAAACATCATTAACTTTTCACATTTACCGGCTGCTTACACCTTCTTCTTCGTCCTTCTCGATCCTCCAAAAATGGCGCCTCGGGAAATTGACCAATGAAATAAAGCGCCTGCAGAGCGATGCAGGATGGGAAACAAAAACTGTTTGAACGTTCACATGAGTGTGATTATGAAATCTTATATTAAAATTTAATGAAGTTTTTCCCTGTTCATGGAATAAAAGGGGGCTCCTAAATATTTTTGCCGATACGATGTGTAGGCCTAGTATATTTAGATAGAAAGCGTTTTTAAAAAATAATATGCGTGTGCCACTTAGAGAAAAAAGATTTTTAACACCTCAAATTATTTGGTTTTGGGATTGGGGTTTCGGGGCTTGGTTATTGCATGGTAGTGGCCGTCCTAACTGAAAGTATATGCCCCCCCCCCCCACACACACTTTTAACGGTTGTAATTATGAATGTATAATGTCACATCAAAACGATGTTTTGAAATTTTTGGAATTGTGAACTTTCCACTTGAATCCTAAGAGGCATGAAAAGGAGCTACAATATTGAAGAACAGCATTTTTTTTTTCTATTTTTAATAGTGATGATTGAAAAGTTCGGAGTTAAACATGTTTAAAAATTAATTGCTATAATTAAAAAAGCTTTTAGTAGAAAGAATCAGCCTGAGTGAGGTATGGTAGAATAGGATTAGGATACACTTGTGAAAATTAAGATAGAATACCATCAGATCTGATTTTTTTTTTCTTGTTTTGATTAAAAAAAAAATCAATGAACTCCCTCCTTTTTTGGTATAGATTTTGAGCCTGCTATCAATTATATATTATTACTGGTGGAGGTGATTACTGTGCATTTTTCCATTTATCGTACTTGAAAAATATTGGCCTTTAGTTAGGCCTAAATAAATTTCACACATCATTTTAACATGTAATATTGTTTAATGTATTAGAATGTCAAAAAGCTTTTTTTAAGGAGAGTTATCACAAGGTGGAACAAAACAAATATCTAATCAAAGGCATGCAGGAAAAATTAACAGTATATTAATTCAGTTTTTTAGTCGTGACGGGTATAAGTGAGGTCATTGGAAAGATTGTGTCAAAAGTCATCTACTGTCTATAGATATTTGTTAATGTGAATGGTTGTGAGTTTATGCACACAGCTTTAGCTGGTCCCGCCCTGTATCTCTTCTTATATACTTTTTTTTCGTAATAAGGAAATTTGGTCAGGTTTTCTATTAAAAAAATAAATTCCTGGTAAGTTTATTACGCAAACGGAAATTACTTTCCTACAGGCCTGTAGTTTGAGTCTCGTCAAATTTAAGAACACGCATTATAATTATTTCTTTAAAAGAGTAATTTACAGCATGTAGAATAGAAATAAAGTAGTGGACAACGTAGATAAAGAAATCTAGTTGTATTGAAAACCTTCACTTTTTTATATAATGTCATCAACAAAAAATGCACAGTAATACAAATGCACACTTAATGCACTATACATCAAAAGCCGTTGTTCTTGAGGAAAACAAAATAATGTATAATTTTATAGATTTTTCTTTAGTTACATGTAGAGCAATGGTTTTTTGGGGGATGCATGGTTTTGTTAAATATACATGTGCATTTAGGACCTTTGTAGTTTCATGCAGACTTTACCACACAGGGATCTACGAACAAATTTAAATTCAAAAGAAATAATAATAAAAAAAATGTTTTTTTATATGAATATTTTAAACATTATTTTACAGATGTCTTTGTAGTTGGATTACAAATTTTACACAAAACATCAAGACTATTAAATACCGTATTAATGTCATTGATCTATAAAGTGATTATGATTTAATATAATTATCATGATTATACACGATTTATATTTATTCTATACCTATGGAAAATTATCTAATTTTCTAACAGGAAGGTTTTATTTGAAATCAGTAATAAACATTGAAATCGAAATTCTAAATAGTTTGTTCTTTCATTGAACTTCTTAAAAATAAATGTAGGTTATTTTATGACTAAATTATGTTCTCTTGTATAACTTACGATTACTATACAATGATTTTTAATGATTATAAAAAACACAAATCATCATCTTAATTTTAGACAAGTCTGCAGAGACTGTGTGTGTACATGCTTGACACCAGCCCATTGTTTCCTGTAAGTAGAAAACCCTCTCAAATCACATAGAATATACAAAAAATACACAGTGACAGGTGTCTCCTGTCCCCAGGTGTCTTCGCGGCACGTGTCTCCACCTGATATGGCACGTGAGGACAGTTGCCCGTAGTTACACAGGCCGTACCAACGTTTTCAAATATGCTTTTTGGGGGAGGGGCGATGACAAGCAAAAAAAATATTAATAATAAAGAAATAAATAAATAAGAAAACTAACAAAAAATTATCTTAAACAATATTTACTATAGCAAATTACTAGCATTATAATACTCAGACCCCCACCTCACTCGATGAATGATTTTTTCTGACCAGTTTATATTTATTTCTATGTAACTATACTAAGTCCTACTCTTCTATATTTTGTCTTTTAATCAGAAATCGCAACTTCTCTTTTTATGATTGATTTCCATATAACTGCACTTACTCTTCTTTATTCCAATTCACGCATTCTACACGAGTTCACCACGACTAATGTGATAAATCCAGTTTAAAATTAACTTGCGTTCACGGTCATGAAATATTAAATTTTATAAATATAAATACACTTTAAGGTATACCTTTACTCAGATGACTAAAAATTCCACTGATAAGAACGAAAAAACACCTATTGCACATTGTACACCTATGATTCTTAGATTATATTTTAATTTCAAATAACTAGGTCAATGACCTTGTTTTCATTCTAGGGGCCTCTGAGTATTTCTCGGGAAATACCTCAATTTTTCACACTATGACCATTTTTTTCTTCACTCACAAAATATTACCAACAACAAGTCTTTTAATTATGAAATATTATAGCAATGGAACAGAGTTGCTCCATATAAAGAAATGAGTAGATTTTGGGCCTTAAACGTGATAATTATTACATCCGAATTTCCTCTGTCACATTTATATTCCCCCCCCCCCATTTTTAATCGAATATTTAAGAAATCTGACTGATAAGAACTCTAAATTATTTATAGCATCATATTACCTTTTTTGCCGTTATTCTCGTGGTATTAACATTATATGGGGTCAATGATCATATTATTGAGATATGTTGCCTGAAATGGTTTTTGTTCATATTTCTGAATTTCTTTATTTGATAGCATTTAATTATTTGAAATAATTTATTAGCTTTAAGGCAAATAAAATTTGCAAAATGATGTCTGAAAAAACATACAACCTTTACATTTAAAAATATTGCAAGAAATAAAAGATTTTGACAAAAATGAAAAATTTTAAAATTTAGTCCGAATTTCCTCTGCATTACCATACATTGACTTTTGTTCCTGTATATTTTCTTCAAATAATAAAGTATGAAAATTTAAAATTGATATTGTGTTAAAACTTCATAATTTTATCCATTTAAAACAATTTTTGATTTAATATATTATACTTTATGAAATTTCCTTTCTGATTTCCGAAACCTGAGTAAACGTCATCCTTAAGTTATTTTAACTGTATAAAGAGACCGATTTAATTCTTTTGATACAGTATGTGTACTCGTTTGAAAAAAATCTATAATCGGGAAAAAATGTAGAATCTTCAGAAAATATTTAACTTTTTGTGAAATAAAAAGTACATGTAGTTGGAAATTAGTATGAGATATAATTTCAAAGTTTCCCTACCTGGGAAACATGGGAGAAACTACAGACTGATGGCTTCCATGTCGGGAAACTATATGGAAACCATTGAGACATATATATGTTTCCATGGTTTCCTATCTTGGGAAACTTACAGGAAACCACAGGTTGATTGTTTCCATGTCGATAATCTACATGGAAACCACTGAGGCATGTTTCCACGGTTTCCTATCTTGGGAAACTTACGGGAAACCACAGGTTGATTGTTTCCATGTTGGGAATCTATGTGGAAACCACTATGTGGTTTCCATAATATGGAAACTATATGGAAACTACTGATGTCACGATTCCCATATGTTTCCATCGGGTTTCCAAATTTGGGACACCTGGCTTTTTATCCTGTGTGAAGAAAAGAGAACTGAATTAGTTTCTTTCTTATTTTTGGTGATGAAAAGTAAGTGTTTATTGCAAGATGACAAAGTTCTTACGCCGATTAATAGGTGCAAACGAATGTCTATTTTTAAAAAACATAAGTCTTTTAACATTTTATGAAGAGTTACGACCGCCTTTAAATTTAAAAACGGCAATTTCTTCATCCGTGTGACATACTTATTATTAACAGACGGTATCATTAATTGCCAACTGACAACCACGCTAAA